TCGAAAGAACTGATGCTCTAGAATCCAAATGGTATAGTCCATTATGGTCATGCCCGAAATTAATCACCTTCTTCAACCAAAAGTCTTGAAAAACACAAAATGAAGAAAAGGTCATTGAACACTGTAAATTCTAAGTTAACTGACTCACAAATAACAGATTAAAGGAAAATTGAGGAAAAAATAATCCAAATGTCAATGACATCGATTTAGTAGGATGGAGATCACCGATCCCACGTATTGGTCTAAAGGAACCATCAGTTAAAACAATACGAGTTAGAAGCATAGTTATTAAATCGTGTATCGGAAGGTGTATCGTTTTTTAAAAATAATGTATCGTAAGATGTATCGTAAGATACAGTGTAATTTTAAATAAATAATAAAAATATATATATACCTTTGAAAAAAAATTATACATTCATAAAAATATAATGCAAAGTTTACAACCATAGTTCACTAATTCAAACTTCAAACACCAAAGAGACTTTTAATCCAAATTTCTAACATCCATTTTGAACTCAATCCATAAAATTAATCAAGATTTAGAAATTTTTATACAAAAAAAAAATAAAAATTAGTGTTTTATTTAGACAAAACGACGTCGTTTCATCAATGGCGGAGATAAAATTAGTGTCTTATTTAGACAAAATGACGTCGTTTCAGGAAAAAAAAAAAAAAGTTTTGCGCGTATCGGTCGTATCGTACCGATACGTATCGTATCATAAAAACATATCGTGTATCGAACGATACGACGCAAAAACGATACATAACTACGATCCGTATCGTTTTACCTCAGNAATTAGTGTTTTATTTAGACAAAACGACGTCGTTTCATCAGTGGCGGAGATAAAATTAGTGTCTTATTTAGACAAAATGACGTCGTTTCAGGAAAAAAAAAAAAAAGTTTTGCGCGTATCGGTCGTATCGTACCGATACGTATCGTATCATAAAAACATATCGTGTATCGAACGATACGACGCAAAAACGATACATAACTACGATCCGTATCGTTTTACCTCAGTATTATAACGTATCGTGTATCGTACGATACTAACAACTATGGTTAGAAGAATGAAAATTATAAAACAATGAGGAAATACCAAACATGTGGACACTAACTCCTAAATCAATAATCCAAAATGGTGAAGCAGATTGTGTTGCTGCATATGCAAAATTATTAGCAGTGGCCAAACCAACAGCTGAGAGGTAAGATCATCATGTGAGCCTAGTGTTTAAAACCCGGCCCGGCCCTGCCCTGCGAGTTGACCCGGTAAACCGGTGAATCGGTGCCTGAACCAGGCCGGTTCACTCATTANGCCAAACCAGCAGCTGAGAGGTAAGATCATCATGTGAGCCTAGTGTTTAAAACCCGGCCCGGCCCTGCCCTGTGAGTTGACCCGGTAAACCGGTGAATCGGTGCCTGAACCAGGCCGGTTCACTCATTAGATCGTTTTTGCATAAGAACCGGCTAAAATCCGTTGAACCAGCTAAAACCCGCCAACCCATGCGACCCGGAAGAGTTTAATCAAACCGGCCGAATCATTTCATTTTGTATAAAAGGCTAATATTTGGCCATTTTGCCCTAAATCCATAAATCNAGCTAAAACCCGCCAACCCATGCGACCCGGAAGAGTTTAATCAAACCAGCCGAATCATTTCATTTTGTATAAAAGGCTAATATTTGGCCATTTTGCCCTAAATCCATAAATCAACTCTGTCCAACAAGTCGAACGATGAAGACCAGCCTCAACCTCTGCCTCTTCACAACAGTGGAGTAGTCAATAACCTTCTCAAGCTCTCAGCAATCAGCCCAGTCTTTCTCTCTTTCTCCCTCTGAGTTTCAAACTTTCAGATTCAGCCTCTCATTTCAAGTCTCAATCTCAGTTCCCTCTTTGTGTCTCTGACGCAGCGAGCAAGCAAGGGAAGAAGGCATCAAAGCTCCTTCCCATCGAAGCATCGACGACCATTGACAGTAGTAGGTACACTATACTCTCTCTCTCTACTCTCTAACATGTACACAGTTGACAGAATATGCCCTAATCGACTAATCTGCTATATTTAATTTTTGATTTTTATACATTAAATCTTTGATAATGCCCCTCATTCTCTGTGTTAAATACATTGAATCTTTGATAATGCTCCATCGATGACACAACACAGCACATAGTCCCTCATTTTCTGTAAAATCTATAAAACCCAAGTATACAACTTTTGGTTTTGGTGAACAACTTCTGATTTTTTGTTCCATTATTTTTTGTTATTTTTCATTTATGTTGTAGTAGGATGTGGTTGTGATTTTTTTGATCGGTGGATTTATGAGGTTTGTAAGGTTACATTTAGAAATTTGATATTAAATCATTCTAATTGATTGTTGATATTACTGGGTATTTTGATTCTAAGTTTTCAATTTGGCATTTGACAAATTTTTTGGTCTGATTTTGTGGGCTTTTATTTGATCTAATATACATTAAACATGGTTATTTTTATACTTATGATATTTTTTGGTATATTTTTTATTATTAATATTTANTTAAAATGGAATTGTGAATTCATGTGCAAATGTCACTTTTATTTGTCTTATTCCCAAGAAAGAGAGGTCTTCAAGGATAAAGGACTTTCGGCCTATTAGCTTTGACCAATTTATACAAAATTTTGGCAAAAGTACTTTTGAGGAGACTTCGCAAGGTATTGGAGGAAACCATTTCTAATTCTCAAGGAGCATTTATTGGGAAGGCAAATTTTGAATGTGGTACTTATTGTTAATGAGATTGTTGAGGAGTATATAGGAAAAGAAGAAAGAGGGGATTGTTTTTAAGGTGGATTTTGAAAATGCTTATGATATTGTAGATAGGAATTTTTTGAATTATATTATGAAATGCAAAGGATTTGGTTCGAGATGGAGAAAGTGGATAATATGTTGCTTGAAATCGATGAATTTCTTGGTTATTGTTAATAGGGCTTCAAAAGGGTGCTTCAAAGCTACTAGAGGTCTTAGACGGGGAGATCCCCTCTCTCCCTTTCTTTTCATTTTGGTGGTGAATGTATTGAGTAGGATAGTGGATAGCGCTAGTAGTTGAGGAGAGGTGGAAGAGGGAAAGAATGGAAGTGACTCATTTACAAATTGTAGATGATACTATTTTTTCTGTGGTGGACATGCAAAGAATATTACGACAATTTCTCTAATCTTGAGATGCTTTGAGTTGGTATCGGGTTTGAAAGTGAACTTGTCTAAGAGTACAATTGGAGAAATTAATGTACAACAAGACTAGTTAGACTTGCCGAACTTTAGGATGCACTATTTCAAAATGGCTACTTAAGTATTTGGGTTTACCTTTAGAGGATAACCCAAATTCCTCAAATTTTTTGGAGATGGTGATCCAAAAGATTGGGAAAATGTTAGAGGGGTGGATAAAAGCATATTTGTCGAGGGGAGGTAGAATCACTTTAATTCATTCAGTGCTTCATGGCATTCCTCTTTATTAAATGTCTCTATTTGGGATGCCTTTGAAGGTGGTGAAAAGGATAGAGAAGATGATGAGGGAGTTCTTATGGGAGGGTAGTGGTGAAGGCAAGAGGGATCATTTGGTGAGATAGGATTTGGTATCCCAATCAAAAGCAAAAAAGGTCTTACTTTAGGTAACGTGAAGGCTAAAAACATTTTCTTGCTTGCACAATGGTTATGGAGATTCTCCGATAAATAGTTTATGGCATGTTGTGATCAAAAAGTAAATATGGGATTCAACAAAATGGGTGGGATTCCAAAGTGTGTGAGAGAGGGTGTTCTCATTGCCCTTTGGAATTACATTTCACGGTGTTTATCTACTTTCTTTACCTATGTTAAATATTTCATGGGTAATGGGGAGAGAATTCGATTTTGGAAGGACACTTAGGGGGTGTTCTGTCCTTTGCATCCACGTTTCCTCAATTATATAGGTTGTCTAGAAATCATAACTCCTCTATTTCAAGTATGACATTATCATCATCTTCCAGTTGGAATTTTAATTTTTGTAGAAGCCTTAATGAGAGAGAAATTGCTGAGATATTTTCACTTTCGGGTATCCTTGATACTGTTGTCTTGAATTCTTTGTATCTAGACCGAAGAAAGTGGATCATTTCTTCTTTGAGAGAATTTTCTTGTAGATCTTTTTTTGAGACCTTGATTAATAAGCCTTGCAACCCAATTTTCCAACCTTCATTAATAATTTGGAAGTCGAAGGCTTTTTTAAAGGTACAAAACAAGTTTTTATTTGGTTGCTTGAACATAACAGACTCAATACCAATGATGTGCTACAAAAAAGAAAATCTTTATATAGTCTTATTACCACAATGGTGTTCTGTGTGTAAAGGAGGGGAGGAAAGTAAGGATCTTCTTTTTTTGCATTATTCCTATACCTATTTGGTATTTCCTTGGGTGGGTCTGAGNGATACATTATGTTCTTATGAATAGATCTCCTCAAAAGATTCCTAAATTTTCTTAGTGGTATCAAAAAGTTGAACATCCGAAACTACACTAAGTTCCATACTATATCTCAACTAAGTCATCACTAAGGAATTCTCACCCCACCAGTCTTCAGAATCTTTCGAAATCTTGGGAGAACTATCAGTCAAATACTTGGCTTTTCGTTTCCCAATNTAAAGACAACTACAGCATTAGAAAAGTAGAACATAATTGGAAACTGACACAATAGGAAAGTAGAAGAATGGGAAAATAACATAACAAGAAAGTAGAACAATAGGAAGGTGACATTTAGGAATAGGTTTGAGAGTCTCTTAGAAAAGGCAGAAGGGACTCGATGGTGAACAATTAACCATGTGTGGTCAAGTTCTGGTTTTAAAACACCCAAAAGAAAAAAAAAAGTATTCCCCCTAAACTTCTTAATATTCCCACCAACCAAAATTTAAGCTGTTTCTTAATGTATTCTAGATTACCGAACTGTTCAACTGATGGATAATGGATTGCCACCATCTGGGCCGACCCAAGAAGTATATGTATATGTGATCGGTCATCGCATGCCATGTCCAAAGCCTCCAAACAGAAACTGAAGTGATTCATTCAATATGGAAGGCTTATTAACCAGACAAATAATATGCCATAGTTGTGGCTCTCAAGAAAAGCATTGCAACAAATATTAAAAAAACAGAGATTAGAAAGAATACGTACAGCTAGTGGTTCTGGTGGTTGCAGAGCAGCTGACAAAAAATCTCCAATACTTCCAACTTGCAAACTTTTAATTTGCAAGCAAAGAGAGTTCAGAGGGGTTCTCAGAAGTTCAGGAAGTTGATATTCGGTAAAAGCTTCATAGACGCATTGGGGGTATAAGTGATAGCACTCTCCGGGCTGCACACGGCCAGCTCTGCCCCTTCTCTGCAGCATAAATATCACATAAACTAAAAGATGGTCTCTGTTGGACAAACAAGTAGTGACAGGAAGAAAGTAGTTTCTGTAAAAATGAAGATGCCAAAAAATGAAAGAAGGAAAAACAGATGGACCACAATACTACTCTCAAAACCTGTACACCTTACTACAAACTCAACCACCAACTCTCTTTTCAAGCTTCACCATTTCGTATACACGACACATGCATGTAAAGAATATTTCATACTCCATATTTATAATAATTCAAACATACACCCAGCACTAACATACATATATTCCATTGCATACACTCAAGAAAATGTATGATCTTCTAGTAGACCAAAAAGAAGTTATGCCCTATGTGATTTTCCAAAGACCTGTACGTTAGAGGATAATTGATCAAGAACTTTATGAAGGCAAGCTTAACCAAAGGCCGGACAATGGCCTTTAAGTTGAAATAGAGTAAACCAAGAGCAGGGAATTTACTTGCCGAGCAGAAGCTTGAGATATCCATGATGGTAGCAGACAAGGAGTATTATTTAGAGCATCGTAAGTGGTCTCCTTTGCTTTTCCACAGTCAACCACAAAAACTACATCATTGATCGTAATACTTGCCTCTGCCATATTTGTAGCAAGTACTATTTTACGTACATTTTGGGGTGGCTTCTCAAATATGAGTTTCTGCAGAATATTGCCACTAAGATTGTTAATAAGAAAGATATAAAACAAAGAAAGTGGAATGAACAAAAGTGATACAGAAGACAACATAAAGAATATATGATATTTTGACCTAAATAGAAATTTGTAATCATGTTTGAAGATGTGAATTTCATTATACATCTCCAAAGTCTCATTTAGCAAAAACACAATTCTAAGCATGAGAAAAAGTTCAATATATAAGTGCATCTATCCGTTGAGCATAAATGGTTGAGAATCAGAAAATCCTGCAAAGAAATAGCTTATTGAGACGATGAAAATTTTCTAGCAAGCTGCATTTCTTTGACGCAATATATAGACCTAGCTTGACTAACTTGTTTCTCTATGATTTTCAGATAACGAAAAATTTTAGCATCCTATACTCAATTGATGACATTCAAAGGGGGAGTAGGCAAGGATCAAAATTTCGTTTTGTTGTATTGTTTCGCTCACCTAGAAAACAGAAACGTTTCGATGTGTTTCGAAAAAGTTTCATCCTGTTTCGGAAATAAAATGAAAAAAATAAAAATTTTAAGAATTATTTTTTCAAAACATTAGTCAAAATATACCAAAGTACCTTAAAACATTCCAACCAATTGTGCAAATGCATGGAAATATTACAAAATATTTTGAAACATTATGGAACAACTCGTATTAGAATTCGATTTCNTAGAATGGAATTGTGAATTCATGTGCAAATGTCACTTTTATTTGTCTTATTCCCAAGAAAGAGAGGTCTTCGAGGATAAAGGACTTTCGGCCTATTAGCTTTGACCAATTTATACAAAATTTTGGCAAAAGTACTTTTGAGGAGACTTTGCAAGGTATTGGAGGAAACCATTTCTAATTCTCAAGGAGCATTTATTGGGAAGGCAAATTTTGAATGTGGTACTTATTGCTAATGAGATTGTTGAGGAGTATATAGGAAAAGAAGAAAGAGGGGATTGTTTTTAAGGTGGATTTTGAAAATGCTTATGATATTGTAGATAGGAATTTTTTGAATTATATTATGAAATGCAAAGGATTTGGTTCGAGATGGAGAAAGTGGATAATATGTTGCTTGAAATCGATGAATTTCTTGGTTATTGTTAATAGGGCTTCAAAAGGGTGCTTCAAAGCTACTAGAGGTCTTAGACGGGGAGATCCCCTCTCTCCCTTTCTTTTCATTTTGGTGGTGAATGTATTGAGTAGGATAGTAGATAGCGCTAGTAGTTGAGAAGAGGTGGAAGAGGGAAAGAATGGAAGTGACTCATTTACAGATTGTAGATGATACTATTTTTTCTGTGGTGGACATGCAAAGAATATTACGACAATTTCTCTAATCTTGAGATGCTTTGAGTTGGTATCGGGTTTGAAAGTGAACTTGTCTAAGAGTACAATTGGAGAAATTAATGTACAACAAGACTAGTTAGACTTGCCGAACTTTAGGATGCACTATTTCAAAATGGCTACTTAAGTATTTGGGTTTACCTTTAGAGGATAACCCAAATTCCTCAAATTTTTTGGAGATGGTGATCCAAAAGATTGGGAAAATGTTAGAGGGGTGGATAAAAGCATATTTGTCGAGGGGAGGTAGAATCACTTTAATTCATTCAGTGCTTCATGGCATTCCTCTTTATTAAATGTCTCTATTTGGGATGCCTTTGAAGGTGGTGAAAAGGATAGAGAAGATGATGAGGGAGTTCTTATGGGAGGGTAGTGGTGAAGGCAAGAGGGATCATTTGGTGAGATAGGATTTGGTATCCCGATCAAAAGCAAAAAAGGTCTTACTTTAGGTAACGTGAAGGCTAAAAACATTTTCTTGCTTGCACAATGGTTATGGAGATTCCCCGATAAATAGTTTATGGCATGTTGTGATCAAAAAGTAAATATGGGATTCAACAAAATGGGTGGGATTCCAAAGTGTGTGAGAGAGGGTGTTCTCATTGCCCTTTGGAATTACATTTCACGGTGTTTATCTACTTTCTTTACCTATGTTAAATATTTCATGGGTAATGGGGAGAGAATTCGATTTTGGAAGGACACTTAGGGGGTGTTCTGTCCTTTGCATCCACGTTTCCTCAATTATATAGGTTGTCTAGAAATCATAACTCCTCTATTTCAAGTATGACATTATCATCATCTTCCAGTTGGAATTTTAATTTTTGTAGAAGCCTTAATGAGAGAGANAATATGCATGGTGGCAATTACGATCCATTTCAAAAAGATAAATACATGTTCACATAATTGAATCAATTGACAGCCTATCAATAAGGAGATTATTTTTCTTTAAATAATTGTGCAACCACCATGATGCGTATTTTTTCGCACACATGTCCGACACTTCTTTAGACCATGTCTACTACTAAATAATAAACATGTAGTGATATGTGATTGACAAATCTTAAAACTTTGACTAGTAAGTATCTTGTACTATTAATTACTAAGACTAGACATGTTAAAGTTGTTCTTAGAACAAAATAACAAAAGCAAAAGATACATAAAAGTTTTAAAAAAGAGGAATTGAGAAAATGAGAGTAATCATTTAAATTATATATGTTTGGTACACGTCTACGAAAAAATTAATGATTATTGAATACTATAATGTCGGTCTAAAAATGGACATAACATTTGTGACTAGATGTATATTTAACACTAGATGACTAGGCATAATATTTATAGGATTGAATTTTTTATGAATAATATATAGTTATTACTATATTTGTGATAAATCATGTAACTTTATTTATGAAACACAATTATCTGTAACANACGTCTACGAAAAAATTAATGATTATTGAATACTATAATGTCGGTCTAAAAATGGACATAACATTTGTGACTAGATGTATATTAACATTAGATGACTAGGCATAATATTTACAGGATTGAATTTTTTATGAATAATATATAGTTATCACTATATTTGTGATAAATCATGTAACTTTATTTATGAAACACAATTATCTGTAACATGTCCTCAACGTGTCTGTATCTTTTTTTTTAAGAAATGTCGTGTCGTATCCGTGTTTGTGCTTCTTAGATATTATGTGCGACAAATAACTGCATCACTAGCATCAATGCCAACCAATTACCGGTGGGTCCTTCATATAATCAAACACGCAAAATTCTTGTATTGTTAGTAGATTTTCATGTTTAAANTCTGTGCTTCTTAGATATTATGTGCGACAAATAACTGCATCACTAGCATCAATGCCAACCAATTACCAGTGGGTCCTTCATATAATCAAACACGCAAAATTCTTGTATTGTTAGTAGATTTTCATGTTTAAAGAGTCAGGGTAGCTCACTGGATGCCAAAAAATATTAACATTCACTATTAGCCGTATGAAATATAAGAATAAGTTTATTTACTAGACANTGTATTGTTTCGCTCACCTAGAAAACAGAAACGTTTCGATGTGTTTCGAAAAAGTTTCATCCTGTTTCGGAAATAAAATGAAAAAAATAAAAATTTTAAGAATTATTTTTTCAAAACATTAGTCAAAATATACCAAAGTACCTTAAAACATTCCAACCAATTGTGCAAATGCATGGAAATATTACAAAATATTTTGAAACATTATGGAACAACTCGTATTAGAATTCGATTTCATTCGTTTTAGTCTCCTTGGAAACAGAAATGTTTCGACCGTTTCAAAACAAAATTTTGACCCTTGGGAGTAGGGAAGAATAAAAGTTTATTTTGCAAACCACCATATATCATATGGATACATTTTGTTCCCAAACTTTCTACTCTTTGCTTTCATTTTTGAAAAATTGACCACAGGCTAATTCATTTTAACATTGTAGAGTTCACTCAGAAGATTGAATATCAGCCTGACTGAGTAATCACATTACATGATTCCTTCCAGGTTCCTTAATTTCGATAACTAACGAACCATGAATAACATCCGACAATTTTAACTTAAATCCTCAAGTTTAAATCTCATGTCACACCTCTCATTGAAACCGCAATGACAATTAAAATTCCAATAAGTGGAAACAGAAACAATTTTACCTGTTCAGATGTTGCCATTGAGCCGTGGCATGTAAGCAGCAAAACCCTGTTAGGGTCTCCTAAAAGAGGATGAGCTTTAATTTGATCCCTTAAACAACTTATATCTTCCCAGCCAGTCATAAATACTAACACAGCACCTGATCTTTCCTTCCGACATATATGGCATAAAACAGCCTCTATAAGATTAAAGCCAATGCAATCAGGTGTCCAACATGACAGAGAATCACGTGCCTTGGAGCTGTATTTCTCAAAGCTTGATTTACTAAGGGCATCCTATGATGTAATAAGACAACAAAAGACTAATCACACATTTATTGTATAAAGGTTCAGAACTGCAATATGTAAAATTCTATCCACAGATATCTACCAAGGGAAAATTCTGTAAGCTGTAAATTGTTTTATTTTACTCCCGATCTTTATTGAAAAGCAACTGAAGGGTAAAAAAAGGGAGTGTTGCAACCAGGTTTTTATGCATGGAGATATGCCAACTGCAGTCTACAGAACTGAAATAATATGCATGNTGGAAATATTACAAAATATTTTGAAACATTATGGAACAACTCGTATTAGAATTCGATTTCATTCGTTTTAGTCTCCTTGGAAACAGAAATGTTTCGACCGTTTCAAAACAAAATTTTGACCCTTGGGAGTAGGGAAGAATAAAAGTTTANTTGAAATATTACAAAATATTTTGAAACATTATGGAACAACTCGAAGTATTAGAATTCGATTTCATTCGTTTTAGTCTCCTTGGAAACAGAAATGTATCGACCGTTTCAAAACAAAATTTTGACCCTTGGGAGTAGGGAAGAATAAAAGTTTATTTTGCAAACCACCATATATCATATGGATACATTTTGTTCCCAAACTTTCTACTCTTTGCTTTCATTTTTGAAAAATTGACCACAGGCTAATTCATTTTAACATTGTAGAGTTCACTCAGAAGATTGAATATCAGCCTGACTGAGTAATCACATTACATGATTCCTTCCAGGTTCCTTAATTTCGATAACTAACGAACCATGAATAACATCCGACAATTTTAACTTAAATCCTCAAGTTTAAATCTCATGTCACACCTCTCATTGAAACCGCAATGACAATTAAAATTCCAATAAGTGGAAACAGAAACAATTTTACCTGTTCAGATGTTGCCATTGAGCCGTGGCATGTAAGCAGCAAAACCCTGTTAGGGTCTCCTAAAAGAGGATGAGCTTTAATTTGATCCCTTAAACAACTTATATCTTCCCAGCCAGTCATAAATACTAACACAGCACCTGATCTTTCCTTCCGACATATATGGCATAAAACAGCCTCTATAAGATTAAAGCCAATGCAATCAGGTGTCCAACATGACAGAGAATCACGTGCCTTGGAGCTGTATTTCTCAAAGCTTGATTTACTAAGGGCATCCTATGATGTAATAAGACAACAAAAGACTAATCACACATTTATTGTATAAAGGTTCACAACTGCAATATGTAAAATTCTATCCACAGATATCTACCAAGGGAAAATTCTGTAAGCTGTAAATTGTTTTATTTTACTCCCGATCTTTATTGAAAAGCAACTGAAGGGTAAAAAAAGGGAGTGTTGCAACCAGGTTTTTATGCATGGAGATATGCCAACTGCAGTCTACAGAACTGAAATAATATGCATGGTGGCAATTACGATCCATTTCAAAAAGATAAATACATGTTCACATAATTGAATCAATTGACAGCCTATCAATAAGGAGATTATTTTTCTTTAAATAATTGTGCAACCACCATGATGCATATTTTTTCGCACACATGTCCGACACTTCTTTAGACCATGTCTACTACTAAATAATAAACATGTAGTGATATGTGATTGACAAATCTTAAAACTTTGACTAGTAAGTATCTTGTACTATTAATTACTAAGACTAGACATGTTAAAGTTGTTCTTAGAACAAAATAACAAAAGCAAAAGATACATAAAAGTTTTAAAAAAGAGGAATTGAGAAAATGAGAGTAATCATTTAAATTATATATGTTTGGTACACGTGTACGAAAAAATTAATGATTATTGAATACTATAATGTCGGTCTAAAAATGGACATAACATTTGTGACTAGATGTATATTTAACACTAGATGACTAGGCATAATATTTATAGGATTGAATTTTTTATGAATAATATATAGTTATTACTATATTTGTGATAAATCATGTAACTTTATTTATGAAACACAATTATCTGTAACATGTCCTCAACGTGTCTGTATCTTTTTTTTTAAGAAATGTCGTGTCGTATCCGTGTCTGTGCTTCTTAGATATTATGTGCGACAAATAACTGCATCACTAGCATCAATGCCAACCAATTACCAGTGGGTCCTTCATATAATCAAACACGCAAAATTCTTGTATTGTTAGTAGATTTTCATGTTTAAAGAGTCAGGGTAGCTCACTGGATGCCAAAAAATATTAACATTCACTATTAGCCGTATGAAATATAAGAATAAGTTTATTTACTAGACACATACTACACTATACTATAAGTCTAATACATATATACTATGAAACACGGATATTCTCAACAAGGTGATGTATCGGGGTCGAACACTGACACTTCTTGAACACTCTCATACCCATGTCCAACATTCTTTTATTCAGGGTCATATCTGAATGACAATTTTAATTTCAAACAAGTATCCAACATTTCTTTAGAACGTGTCTACTATTATACAATAAAATGTGTTGAAATGTGATTTACAAAACTTAAAAATTTGACTATTAAGTATCTCATACTATGAGATAATATATAATTACCAAGATTAAACATGTTAAAATTGTACTCCAAATATAATAATAAATGTAAAAGATGCATAAAAGTTTTAAAAAAAGAGGAATTTAGTAAATGAGAGCAATCATTTAAATTATATATGTTGGGTACACGTCTACAAAAAAAATTGATGATTATTGACGATTATAATGCTTTACACTAGATGACTAGACATAAGATTTACTTATTACAAATTACTGGATTTTTTATTAATAGAATATCATTATCATTATATTTGTAATAAATTTTATAATTCAATATATAAAATACTATTATATATAGCATGTCACCAACATATCCGAATCCTACTTTTTTTAGAATTGACGTGTCTGCATGTCCGTGTCATGTCCCATATCCGTATCCGNTATTTTGCAAACCACCATATATCATATGGATACATTTTGTTCCCAAACTTTCTACTCTTTGCTTTCATTTTTGAAAAATTGACCACAGGCTAATTCATTTTAACATTGTAGAGTTCACTCAGAAGATTGAATATCAGCCTGACTGAGTAATCACATTACATGATTCCTTCCAGGTTCCTTAATTTCGATAACTAACGAACCATGAATAACATCCGACAATTTTAACTTAAATCCTCAAGTTTAAATCTCATGTCACACCTCTCATTGAAACCGCAATGACAATTAAAATTCCAATAAGTGGAAACAGAAACAATTTTACCTGTTCAGATGTTGCCATTGAGCCGTGGCATGTAAGCAGCAAAACCCTGTTAGGGTCTCCTAAAAGAGGATGAGCTTTAATTTGATCCCTTAAACAACTTATATCTTCCCAGCCAGTCATAAATACTAACACAGCACCTGATCTTTCCTTCCGACATATATGGCATAAAACAGCCTCTATAAGATTAAAGCCAATGCAATCAGGTGTCCAACATGACAGAGAATCACGTGCCTTGGAGCTGTATTTCTCAAAGCTTGATTTACTAAGGGCATCCTATGATGTAATAAGACAACAAAAGACTAATCACACATTTATTGTATAAAGGTTCACAACTGCAATATGTAAAATTCTATCCACAGATATCTACCAAGGGAAAATTCTGTAAGCTGTAAATTGTTTTATTTTACTCCCGATCTTTATTNAGCGATTGTGAGCTATGGCCATCCCAAGGTCAATCAAGTAGTCAGCAAAGTGGGCCAGAACTAATATCCTCATCCCCATCAATCAAAAGAGAAATGGAGGAAAATAAAGGAATTTATGTTTCCTTTAATTTCATGAAAAAAGACAGTTAAGAACTAGGTCTTTCAAACTGTAGAGCATATAAATTATGGAAGACTAAGAATTAATGTTGCCAAACAAGTGGACCCCCAGGAGCCAACACCCTGGCTCCATTTGAAAGATGTATTCGAACCATATAAACAACAAGATTCCAATAGGTAATAACATAAACAATGTCTATCTCACAAGAAAGAACTTAAGAGACACAAAGAAGAAGAAATCTTCAGCTCATGTGGGGCACAACTAAGGATCAAAATATCGTTTCAAAATGGTCGAAATATCCGAAACGTTTTCGTTTTCAAGGAGACCAAAATTAATCAATGATGGAATCGAAATTCTATTACTTCGAGGTGTTCCATAATGTTTCCAAANCATTTCAAAATGGTCGAAATATCCGAAACGTTTTCGTTTTCAAGGAGATCAAAATTAATCAATGATGGAATCGAAATTCTATTACTTCGAGGTGTTCCATAATGTTTCCAAATGTTTTGTTATATTTTAATGCATTTGCACAATTATTTCTAAACGTTTCAAGGTATTCAAGATATTTTGGTATATTTCGACCAATGTTTTGAAAAAATAATTCTTAAATTTTTTTTATTTTGTTTTTGAAATAGATCGAAACTTTCCAAAATACATCGAAACGTTTCCGTTTTCTAGTTGACTGAAACAATGCACCCAAAAGAANTTTATTTTGTTTTTGAAATAGATCGAAACTTTCCGAAATACATCGAAACGTTTCCGTTTTCTAGTTGACTGAAACAATGCACCCAAAAGAAATTTTGATCATTGGGCACAACCAACAGCTTCATCGCTGTCAGCCGTATCATAGAAGACAGAGATAAACAAAGTGAAATTTTACTTCTTTTTTCAGAACCAAAAAAGGGGCTGTTGTTTTGGTGGACACGTAAAAGACATGCACAGCAAAGTTATAGACTTGTTGCTGGGTTAAATTTCTTTAAGAAATGCAAAAATTTATGTACTCATTTGTGCACTTAAATACCATGTTTTTAAGAATTAGAGGACTGTACGAAAAATGTGACTGGCAAAGCAATGTCCTACTGCAAATTCCATGTAAAAAAATTCAAGTTTTAGCATATTTGCCTACCTCAACAAGAGCAGTGATTTGGTTTTTCCTTCTCCGTGGCACCAGCTGTCTTTGGGTTTTCCACATCTTCTCTTGGCCATAATCGTCGACTTGGTTGAACGAAGTTAACTTATATCCAGTCATTTCCAATACATCTTCCAAAAAAAGTGCCCTCACCGGGTATGTGAAGCCCTATACTAAGAAAACAAATACTCAAAATCAAAGGGAAAAAGTGTAAATGACCAATCATCTACTCCCTTGCACATAGAATTTTTCACATAATGACCTATATAGCAGACCATTTCAAAAAGAGGTAACAATAAAGTCACATAGTAAGTGCCCTCACCGGGTATGTAAAGCCCTATATTAAGAAAACACATACTCAAAATCAAAGGGAAAAAGTGTAAATGACCAATCATCTACTTTCTTGCATATAGAATTTTTCACATAGTGACCTATAGCAGACCATTTCAAACAGAGGTAACAACAAAGTCACATAGTAATGGCAACCAAATGCAGCCAAGTGTATCTTTTCACATTGGCTAAAAACTATATAGTTCAATTTCTTACCACAAGAAAAAGTATTTTCAAGTTTAAACTGCATGCATTTACTTAAATAACCAAATTCTGCCTTGAGTGAGCAATAAACCATGAGGTTGAGATTGTATGCTGTGAAAGTCTTGCAAGTCAAAAAAAGAAGACTAAATCAGGCACGGGACAACATAAACAAATTGCTTGGTGATATAGCTCAATGACCAAGACAAAAGTCTTCACACATGCAGAAAAATTACAGGTTAAGCCTACCGGAATATGAATTGTTGGTGCTCCTCCAAAGTAATTTGAAAATAGTTCAGCATTCAATGTAGCACTCATCAAAATCAATCTCAAATCTCGACGTCGTGGAAGAAGATCCTTCAACACAATCAGGAGAAAGTCTGATAAATAAGAAGAAAAAAAATTAGGGTGTCAAGAACTAAGATAGAATGCTCTTACATGAAGACCGTGATTCGAAAAAATATCTATTAGGAAATGCACCTTCATTCATGCCTCGCTCATGAATTTCATCTACAAAAACATGAGTTATACCATTGAGGTTGCGGTCGCTTAACAGCCGCCGAAGCAAAATACCACTTGTGCAAAAAAGCAAGTGGGTATTCTTTCCTTTCATTCCCTCTAATCGAACTTTATAGCCAACCTATCAGAAAAGCTCAGTTGTCACATAGCAACTAGAATAGCAAGTCTCAAATCGGAAACGACTTTCCAGCTAATAAGAAATTCAGAATTCCACTAGATAAACAAATCCAGAAAAAAAGCGGGGCAAAGAAACAGAAAACTGGGAGGAATAGGCTTACTGATTCACCAACAGGCTCTCCCCTCTCCGTTGACACTCTTTCTGCAACAGCCATTGCAGATATTCTTCGAGGCTGTGTACAAATTATGCTGCAGAATGCTCCACGACCAGACTCGATTTCAGACTCCAATATATATTGAGGAAGTTGGGTGGTCTTACCACATCCAGTCTCCCCGGAAATTACAACGATCTATCATTACAAAAATCAATCAAGATCACTGGTTTCAAATGCAAAGCACCACACACGTAAGCATGTATGCAGCAATCAAGAACCAATCTAACAAATTTATCTCATTATCTGCTCATGATTAACTGAAGATATATAACAACCAGTTTGTATTTTGTAATAATGAGGTTCCTAATATACATTATGAACAACCTTCATGAATGAGAAGAAAAGAAAGCCGCAAGATGCATGATGTACCACATGATTTCATCTTAGATGGGACAAAAACTTGACTGAAAAATAACCAATTAATATAAAAAAAATTCCCAGACCTCTATTGATGAAAACTAAATTGCAATTTTTTTGGACATACAAAAAATTAACTACTATATGAAAATAAAAACCAGTATCAGTTCTGCCATAACAAAAAATGAACAACAAAAGACATAATCTTTTCACAGTATATTTAAACTCTATCATATATTAAAGTTGGACATGAACATTGTTACAAATCCCAAAAATTATTTGTAATAGACTCGAGGATCAAAATTTTATTTCGGTGCATAATTTTGATGGGCTTGGAAACGGAAATGTTTCGATAATGCTTTTGAAATATTTCAAAAACAAAAAAAAAATTGAAAATTTATTTCTAAAACAATGGTCAAAACATCCTGAAAAATTNACTGTTACAAATCCCAAAAATTATTTGTAATAGACTCGAGGATCAAAATTTTATTTTGGTGCATAATTTTGATGGGCTTGGAAACGGAAACGTTTCGATAATGCTTCTGAAATATTTCAAAAACAAAAAAAAAAAAAATTGAAAATTTATTTCTAAAACAATGGTCAAAACATCCTGAAAAATTCTAAAACATAAGTCGAAACATGCCGAAACACCTAGAAACATGGAAATTTTGATAATCAATCAATGATTCGTTTTACTTCCACGGAAACGAAAATGTTTCAGAAGTTTTGACTGTTTCCAAAACAAATTTAGTTCATTGACTAAGTCTATGCAATTTATGAACAATTTCTTTTCAAGGTACACAATCCATGAGTTTGTAACAAAATCATCATTCATTGTTGCAAAGCTTAGTCAAGAGTCCATCTAATTGAGAAATTGATTTTGTGGAAGAGCATAAATGCCTTTGGGTTGGTAGATTTTATCATTTTCATCTAATAGTATTTTAGAAGGTAATGACCACTAACTTACCAAAAAAGAATCAGGGCAACTATACCATTGTTTTCAAAAAAAGTAAGGGACAGTCTGGAGTGTATTAAATAACAATCTTACCGTCTTTGGTTAATATATAAAGGTTAGGACATTTCATGTCTGTTTTACTCAGTTTAAAAAACAAAAACATTTCTTTTATAAGGTAAGGGGACGAGTGGACTACTAACTTATAGAAAAAAACTACAACCAATATATTAACTTTCCTATATCAAGCATATATGAGGTGTTTCCCACAAGTCAGTCGCCTGCGCCGGGGGGTATCTCAAATGTGGCAGATGATAAAGTTAGCAAAAGTATGGATTATGTGTTTCTTAATAGATGCGTGAAAAAAAGAAAAATTTTATTAACCAAAACTGTCAAGATTGTAGGCGCAGCGGCTCCCCTACCCTTCTTAACATAAAGCTGCGCTTCCAATCATCTATACATAAATAGTCCTTTATGTATTCTGCAGTCTTATGTATTTTTTTTTTTATGTAGGGAATAAAAAAAAGAAACATTTGTAACTCATCCAAGACCTACCTCTTTGATCTCCTTAATGATGAAAAGGGTGCAACTTGGGCGGGGCAACCCGCACCCAACCCATATTATAGATTTCTTTCCCGCTACTTAGGGAGAGCAAGAAACAAAATAGAAAGATTGTTTTTGGGTAAGCAGACACTAAGACCATAACCATCCATGAGACATCACCTAGATGGGTTTTGCCGAAATCAACAACAAAATGGAAACAGAAACTATCTATGACTCTATATCTAGACAATGTCTTGGGCAAAGGAAAAACTGAAGCAATAGGGAACGCCTAGGCAACATTGTTATTCCTAGGGTGTAGTAAGTAGATCATAAGGCACTCAGCCCCTTCTACCTGAAAAAAAGGGAATAAGTCTCATACAATCTTGCTCCAATCTAACCTTGCTGGCGAGCAATCCTATTACGTGACAAAGAACAAGACTGTAGGCGAACGTACCTTTGTTCTCTTTTGCTCCACCAGGCACGGATGTTTAAGGATAAATATAGGTTGGGAGGCATAAATTTTCAATTTTTTTTTTTTGTTTTTGAAAACTTCATTCGATCTACTCCCCTGGTTGGGAGGCATCTATCTAAAAGGTTCACTATAATGAGGAGTACTTTTTTTTACCTTCTGGAAAAAATAAAATGCATTGAGGATCATCCTTTTGTTGCGGGAAGGTCATCAGATTAACGAATATGGAGTGGAGCCCAAGCCCTAAGTTGGCTAACAATGAAAAAGGCCTATGAACCTAAGTAGGGCCTTTTCAATTAAATCTTAGGTCTCTTTTTAATAAGGGAGCAAAAGGTCAGCCTTTAGAAAGTCAACAAACAACAGTTCTTGTGTGCAGATATAGAGTTCCTTGACTCTCCTGACGTCTAGCTGAGTTACGTCGAAACCTTTTAGTAGCGTAGTAGAATGGAGGCTATGCATCAAAGCTCTCTTTTCTATCAGTTTAAGCCTCTTCACAAACTCGCTCACCTGTTATAAAATACATTGGTAGGCTACGTAACTCAACCACTTACTCCTACTAATGTAGCTTTAAGTAACACCTTTTTCTCTTTTTGAATAACTCATTCTCATTATCTTTCACAAGTTAAGTAGATAAAACTACATGTCCCCAGCTGTGTTTACTCCAACCAAAAATTCTGATTCTTGGACAAAGATATCCATATTTGCAAAAAAATCGCAACTCGGATTGAATTCAAGCAATACTCGCATTGAAACAAGTTACACCATGAGGCACATGTTGGGAAACAAGGTTGCATTCATCTGCTTTATAGGTCCATCATGTGAACTAACAAACAAGAATTGATGGAATTGCCTAGGCAGTTAACAGCCAACTTAGATAGCTAATCCACAACTGGGATGCTAAACCAGATTTGTGTAGATGGGGTAAAAATCACTATCTTAAGAACCATGTTCCATTTATCTAAGCGGTCACTAACCATATATCTACGACCTTAGCAGCAACATGTGCAAAACCCTCCATTGCCAACTCCACCACAAAGCCCCATAGGATCATATGTTCATTTAGACAAAGAAATCTAGCCATAGAGCATGTTTCAAAATGATGACTAAAGAAGTTATCTAGAAATCAAAACTATTGACCATCTATTAAATAATGCTTAAAACCAATGCATAAATGACTGAAAGATTAGTACCTAAATAGGTCCCCTTAAACAAGGGTGCTAGGAGAAGTGGACTAAATACATACATAACATTTGGTATTATTTACGTAAACTAGCTGCTCTAAAATCCGATCCCACAACCTCACAATTTTCTGCTCATTACTTTTGTTACTGAACCAAACAATGACCCTTTATGCACAAATGACTTAAAATATCAAAAAGCTCATTTCTTACTTAGAAAAAATACACTTTTCCACTTTTCCACTTTTCTTTCAAATTGCATACTTGATAATGTCATAAATATGTCTTTTTTTTTGTGAGATAGGCAATGTTATGAATGAATTGGACATCCATAGAAGCATTGTATTTTTCCCCAAGGCTGTAGTAGAAGTTGTATAGTAAAGGCAAGGACAAAACCCGATGAAGTATTTTTTTTCTCCAGAAGGTAAAGCCTAGTGAAGTTGAGGAACAAAATAGTCTACCTATAAAACATACGAGATTAAAAACAAGAACTTCAAAAACAACAACAGAATACTACGCGCTTTGTGTCACTTTTGTCCTCAATTTTTCAATTGTATCATTTTAATACCTTAAGTTTGGTCAATGAAAAATGGTGGTCTGAATTGACCGATGGAGGTATTCACGTGAGACACACGTGACTACACTTAAGGGGTCACTTTAGTCCCTCAATTTTGCAATATGTCATTGTGCTTCTTCACATTTACAATTTGTGTCCCTTTAGTCCCTTACATTTCAAAAAAAATGCAGCCCCCAAGTGTGGTCACGTAAGATGCACGTGACATCTCGGTTAATCAATTTAAACTGTCGCTTTCGATTGGACTGATGTGATGCAACTTAAATAATTAAGGGACCAAATTGGCACAATTAAAAATTTGGGGACCAAACTGACACAAAGCGCACAGTTTGGAGACCAAAAATAAATTTTGCCCTAAATCAATTAAGTAATAAAGAAATGAGAGAACGAGAGAGACTACTTCAAAAAGGTCCTTTGAACATGTAGCCAGGAAGCCATTGGCTTGGAATTCCACAGAAATTGTATCATGCATATCTCAACAACTTTTCAGTAAGTCTTGCTACTTGCTCCCTTGGCCTTAACTCACCACCTCATAATCAAAACTACTAGCAGATCTTTGCATTAACAAAAAGTCAAAAAAAAAAATTTGGTGCATAGTTTCAACTAGCCCAAACAAGGAAAAGTTTCAAAAATGTTTTGAAAACAATACAGAATCAAACAGGGAAAAATTTGGAAGATTGCTTTGGCTGAAACATTTGAAACATCTCAAATCATTTTTGAAACACTTCAAAAAGAAGAATTTTGATATTCAATGATTGATTTATTCAATTTTGATCCTTGATAGTAGTAATAAGCAACTCACCACGGGGAATAAGGACGCCCATAATACACAATCAAAATGACAATAATAAAAGAACCAAAACAAAACAAAGGTCAATAAAGTGCCCAGCCAAAAATTACAATACTATAAAGCATCGAAATGACATTTATACATACTAACTATTTTAGTTCTTTTGAGATGCAAAATTCAGAATCTAGATAGGGAAGATCATGAGTTCCAATATCAAACCTGATTCCTTGCAATTGCTTGAAGCAGCCTCTCCTTCTCCTTGAATGCACGGAGAGATCTCCGAAAATCTAGCATCTTCCGGCCTTCAGATGATCCCTTTCATTCCAAAATGCAAATAGAATAATTGTTAGGGATAGAGGTCCCCGCGTACACATTTGGAGAATGGTATAACATGTGATAACAAAATCCTCAGATCAGAAATTAATTACTTCCGCAATGATATGTGTGTATTTACGAGGATGACGTCCAAAAAGGAAAATTCAACCAATGGACTTGCCCAATTCCTAAATTGCGGTTATAAACTACTAGTGAATCTAGGCAGACTCGGTATCATTTGCACAGGGACTAATTAACACATGATAATTATTTTTAGCAGTATTGGGGCATTAAGCTGAATTCTATGCAACAACTAGAGCGTGGCCAATCTGTTTTCTCTGTACATCCAACGCCGAGGAGCACCGGTGAATCTTTCCTTACCTTGAGTGACAATTATCTATAGAACTAGATATGTACCAAGTTCAATCATAAAGCTAATATATGTGGTCTTACATCCACAAGGACAACAACATCAATATGATCTCATTAGGAATCAAGACATAAGGCCTTGAAATTTTGTCAGAAAAAAGACCAGACAGAAACTGCATCGGAGAGATGCAGTAGAAGAGGAGCACCAAGAGATGTGGCAACTTACATTAGTCTTCAAATCTCATCCAAAGAACCCCTGGCACTAGGGGGCCCTTACTTTCACAGTACCAAACAATTGAATGCAAAACAGAAGGATCATAAAAATGAAGCGCCACTCTATTAAAAGTTGACAGGGCATTCAAAGCTGGCACTATAGGGGATTGCCTTTTTTTTTTGGTATCCAATGGTAAGAGGATGCATAGTAACCAATACATATGCATCTGGTATAACAACAGAAAGCAAATGGAGCATACCAACCAAGCTCTCTGCATATTACGCATGCGCAAGCTTCGCCTCTGGAGGATCTTCTCCATGACAGACCCATCTAGGAAAGAATCTGGGTTTTCATTGGTGTCCAGATCTTCAACTTGATTGTTTGACATTGTTTCATCTGAATTTCCATGGGGCTTTCCAGAACTCAGCTGCATTCTGTCAAGATGTTCCTGAAGCAAACCCTCTACTCTCCTTTGCAAACTTAGTGGTATAACCACCTGCACAAATGGGTCAAAGCTTTCCAATCCTCATATAAATTACCAAAATTTGCATTCCAAATATGGGATTAAATCATTCTAAGAGCATTCAGAAGTTATTACCTCGCGTTGAGGCCGTTTATCATCAAGATCTGGCCTGTAATTGGGGAGTGGAAGCTTGCTCGCTACCACCACTTTTCCATACATTTCACTGAACATGTGACAAAAAGTGCTTAAGGTGAAGCATATCCTCCCATTAAAACTGTGGAAATAAGAAAATATCATTTTAAGTAAATGCTTCTTGCCTGTAAAGCCCCATCCTTTTGGCAAGATTAGATATTTGCTCATAGTCTCTCCTATCCCTTTTATCCCTGGAGACAATTTCTTGGTCCTTTTCACTACGTAGTAGCAAGCTAAGTTTCCATTTCCACTCGTCAATGTTGGCCACAGAGGACGATGCCTACCATTAACATAGTTCTTAGGACTACAAACTTTTCCAACTTTTCAGCTTGACAATTTTGATAAGTAACTTCATATCTAAGTTCTAACTGATACATACACGTACATTTGTGCATACAGCATAAGTATTAACACATTACACATGCACAGCTATGCCGCTACACACATACATTAATACATATCCAAACCTTATCAATATATACACACACATATGTATGCACAGACATAAAAGAAATTTGAAAAAAAAGATTCACAGCTTAAAGAGTCATTGCTCATTATCCCTCAAGCTTTCCATAATTGCCACTTAAAGCCATGTTTGAAGAGAGGCTAGTGAGACTCTTAGAGAGAACTTGTTCAATCTAATAACTTTACAACAATGTGAAAACTTAGTTGTAAACTTAACTTTACAACTTGTCTTTTCACTGAATGATAGACCAACAGTGGAAGATGGCATTGCATATTTAATCTGTACTAACCAATTACCCGTTAATAATTATTTATTAACACATTAGGTTAAATCTTTCAAGGTACAAAATTTTAAGATTCATCAACAAAATCATTCTTAGAAAAAAGGTATGTATATTTTTGCCATCTAATATCACAAATTTGGGTCTTATCATTTTGCTGTCTTCGAACAATCAGATCCAAATGGTGATAACAATGATGATAAATGTGATAATAACACTAATAGTAAATATAACAGCTTCTTGTGATTCATCTACCGCCCTAAGTATCTATCCTCAATTCAAAAGTACACATCTTTATTTTCTTTCTTCTTTTAAGTGTATGGAATTTATTAAATGACGAATATGCTCTTATTTTCTCATATTTCAGAATTGGTGCATCCTTCATTGTTTTTCCCAGAAAGCTGAAGAATGCACACTATTTTATAGTAATAATAATAACAAGAGCAGCCTATAGCGCACAATTTTCTTTCTTCATTTTCCACAACCCTAAGCGTGTATCCTCATTGAAAAAAATTAATTTTAAAAATGAGAGTATTCTTCAATTTTTTTGCCCCTGAAGAATGAAAGATTCGCACGATTTTAATGAGATACGGGCAGTAGATGGAACAAAAAATGCAGTTGATCCAGTGATAAGCTAACAATTATAATAACAATAACACTAATAATAACATCTATTTTTGGTTAAATACCGGATTATTCTCGTAATCGCATTCGTACTCATCGTCGGAGAACTGCTCGGCAGCGTAACCACAAAAGCCTCGGCGTCCTAATCCCCCTCCAGAGAATAAATAATTCGACAGAATTCGCCGGAGAGACCCGCCATTACGATGATCATTAGATGGCGCAAGACTAGATAGAAGTGAGGATTGTTTGCTGCATGCCAAGAGAAACCCTAGCCTGGAATGCATTGGAGTAACAAAGAGGAAGAGTTTTGGGCATGGCGGTGTAATCTGCTGCAACAAAGGAGAGTTTTGGGTTTAGCCGAAATGGAATTGTGAGGTCGCCATGGCTGTCTTCTGTAGGTCGTTTCGTGTTGGCAGTTGGCGGGTGAGGGTGAAGTCTTTGGTAGTCAGTGTCGCTGTGAGTAATTCGAATTTGGTCGGGACTCCGCTCGTTATTGAAGAAATTTTTAAACTCGTTTGTAAAATAATACGTTCAAGTTCAACTCAAATTTAACATATTTGAATCTTTTATACGTAAATGCTCGGATTCAGTTCGGACTTGACTTATTTTAGACTCGTTTAGGCACCGCTCGTTCTTAAACGAGCTAAATTTAAATAATTTTTTAGATTTAATTAAGAAAAAAGTTTTTCAAGTTCGACTCGAACTCGTTCGACTAATAGCCCTACACATCACCAACTCTTCGTGACCAAGTAGGACACAAACCCTTGTGTCGGGGGCCGAGACACAACCAATGGGGAGAAGTGTTATTCGAACTGGATCAGATCGATAGATCAATCTAATAAACTGGTAAATCAAATTCTAAGTTGGTCCAATTCTTTTGTTAGATCGTTTGGCATTGGAACCTTCATTGAACTGTAATAACTGGTCCATTTTTGGAATAAATTGTCAAACCGATTTTAGGAAACCCAAACCGATTATAGGTAACCCAGCCAATTGGAACCTCTCAATGTTGTTGCAATATAATATTGCATGTTGTCACGGGGTAGCAACTCGTTTTTCTTTTGAGACTACCCGTGAAGGCATTGCCACTGCCAGACAACTCAAGTATAGGGACCCAAACTCACACAAAGGCAGCACTAATTTATTGGGATAATACTCCCAAATTTTATATGTTGAAGCTCTCTACAATTTACAAGAAACTCAAGCAAGAACACTCTCTATCTCACAAGAATGGCCAAGCACATCTATTTATACAAAAAGTATGGCAGATAACACTCTCATCTATCAAGTGACTGACACACAATCTGCCTATTCTCTAGCAGACTTGGTCAGCAAAGCTGCCTCTTTGCGCAACACCTGACAAGCAGTTCCACCCATTCAGCAACTGATATGAAACTACCCCTTATCAGCATGCACTTGGACCAGAATGTGACTAAGAACACCCAGAACTACCTCCCTCAAACTAGGCCCTATTCAGCAATTACTTTGACCGAGTCAGCAATTGCAACTGTCCACATCCTTCTAGTCACATGCATTGAGCAGTCATGTGCCCACAATTCAGCAGTCATGTGTCTACAATTCAGCAGTCAACCTTGCCCACGAACCATTGAGCATGTTGAGTGAAACTCATGCCATGCAATTCAAAGTCATGTACCAACATTGCCTCAATTGAGTCTACTATGTGCTGTCATGCTCAGCTGGGTGGTCTTATGCTGCCACAGTCCGCACCAATCTGTCGAACCACTTAACACCTTGATTCCTTCTCATGGCGTGCCTTGGTGCAAGGTGCCACCAAGACTGTCATTATGCACACAAGTCAGTTAGGAAGTGACAAGTCACCCCCACCTGAAGTATCCAACAACCTCATTTGAATGGTAGCATGGTACTACTGATAAGATCCTCAAACTGCCACAATGTCGTCTCTTTCTCTCAAATGGCTTCTTTCGGTGCTTTCCCTTTCCATTTGACTAGTTAATGAGTCCTATTTTTCTTATGCATTCCCTAAGCCTTGTAGTCAAGGATAGCGTCTGCTATCTCCCATGAATTGCTTCCTAATTGTTGGAGGAGCCTAACGTCAAACATATCTACTAGGGTACTCTAGGTCTTTAATGTATGGTTTCAAAAATGCAACATGGAAAATTGGAAATAGCTTGAGACAACTAGGAAGATCTAGCCTAGAGGCCAATCTGCCAATCCTTCTTAAGAAAAAGACCGTCATAGCGCTGGATCAATCCCTTATGTGCAGACTTTCTGAGTGATCTTCTTCCAAATTGGTGGGGTAATTTTGAGCATCACTTTGTCACCCACTTCAAACTCCACTACCCTCTTTATTCTCATCTGTGCATTTCTTCATCTTTTTCGCTGCCTTTTTCAAGTAGTCCTTTACTTCGTCGGTCCTCTCTTGATTGGGCCGAGCGAAGTGATAAGCTGCAGGACATCACCTTTGAGATTTTTGCTTGGCCACTTCGTGTGGGTGAGAGGTTGTTGGGCAGTTGCCAACTCAAATGGATTCATCTCGGTGGAGGAACTTTGCTACAAATTGTAGCTGAATTGGACGACATCAAGTAAATCCACCCAATTCTTCTGGTTCACTGTGACATAATGCCTGAGATATTCCTCCAGCATCGCATTAACCCGCTCAATTTGTCCAACTGTCTGCGGATGATTACTGGTGGTGAGGTTAAGCTATGTGTCTAGTAGCTTGAACAAGGCCGTCCAAAATCGGCCAGTAAACCGCGTGTCTCTGTCATTGACAATATCAAGCAGAAAGGCCCCAAAACTTCACATTGTGCTTAAGGAACAACTGAGTTGTAACTTCAGTAGAACATATTTTTGGAGCAACAATAAAGGTGGCATACTTTGAGAATCTGTCTACGACCACAAATATTGAAGTAAAGTCATTCACCTTAGGCAACCCGTTGATGAAATCCATGGAAACACTCTCCCAAGAACTACTTGGAATGGAGAGAGGCTCCAAGATACCCATCATCTTCCTCCTTTTTGTCTTGTCCTANCATGGAAACACTCTCCCAAGAACTGCTTGGAATGGAGAGAGGCTCCAAGATACCCGTCATCTTCCTCCTTTTTGTCTTGTCCTACTGGCACACTAAATAAGTGTGCACATAAAGCTCAACATCTACTTCCATGAGAGACCAATAATAACTTTTCGTTAATATGGCAAAGGTATGTTTCTGCTCCAGATGCCTTAATCATCGAGCATCGTGAGTCTCTTTTCAGTAACATTTATCAAAGTCTGCCCAACTTCGGAACATAGGCCTCCTTCCTTTGGCATAGAGCACACCATCCTCTACCCAAAATAGTCGAGTCACCCCTCTTGGACCTACTTTAGCAACAAGCTGGTCACGAGATCAAATTTCATTTGATCCAGAATTCTTTGCAGCATATCCCCAATAATTTGGCTAAGTGTGGCCACCATCCCATCAACAACTGGGATACTTCTAGGAGCATCAACAACCTGATTTGCATTGCTAGATTTGTACTGGCGAGTAAAGTGGAACTAAGCAAGAAAATTCCGCCATCATGCTTGTTTTGGTGTCAGCTTCTTCATGGAATTGAAGCAACTGGTAGCCATATTGTCGGGTAGCACTAGAAAATGCTTCCCCAGCAGGTAATGCCTTCATGCATTGACACAATGAATGACTGCTAACATTTCCTTTTTGTGCACCGAGTACTGCCTCTTGGCATCATTCAGCTTCCTACTTTCAAATGCCACTGGATGCCCATTATGCACCAACACTTCTCCAAGACCAAAGCCTGATGAGTCTGTATGGACTTCAAAAGACAAGTCAAAGTTAGGCAGCCGTAAAATTGGGTTAGTCATCACCCACCGCCTTCAATCAATCGAATGCCTCCTGGCAGTCGTAGGACCAATTCCAAGTCCTATCTTTCCTCAAAAAATTAATCAACATAGTGACCTTCTTTGATTAGTTCTTCACGAACTTTCCATAATAATTTGCTAAACCAAGGAAAGAACACAAGTCAGTAACCTTGGTAGGGACAGGCCAATCCACGATTGCCTCAATCTTCTTTAGGTCTATCTTTACTACACTCACAGAAATAATGTGCCCGAGGAATGAGATTTTCTTTTGAACAAATTCACATTTTTCCAGTTTCAAGTAAAACTGCGTTTCCCTCAACTTTGTCAAAGCCAACCTAAGGTTCTTAACAGGCTCCTCTAGAGTCTAGCTGTAAACAACTGTGTCATCCAAGTACATCACCATAAGTGGTCCAAGTATTCTCAAAATATATTAGTCATCAAGTTGCAGAATATGAGAAGGGCATCTGTTAAGTTGAAAAACATAACTAGAAACTCATATGATCTATACCTCGCCACACAAACTGTCTTCTCCTCATCTCCTTTTGCAATTCTGACTTGATGATATCCCAACCGCAAGTCCATCTTGGTTAAAAAGAATGTTTTCCCAAGTCGATCGAACAACTCGTCAACGAGCAGGACTGGATAGTTATTCTTGACTATCACTTTGTTAAGGACCTTGCAATCCACACAAAGTCACAAGGATCCATTCTTCTTTTTCTGAAATAGGACAGGAGCTCCATAAGGGGCCTTAGAAGGTCTAATAAACTTAATGTCCAATAGATTACTAAGTTGCCTCCTTAACTTTGTCAACTCTGATGGAGACATCTGATAAGGAGCCTGGACAGTGGGCAGGGGTTTTTGCCCCTAGAATTAACTCCATGGCATGGTCAACCTCCTGCCTTGGTGGTAATCTGGCTGATTATTCTTTGGGTGCCACGTCCTTGATTTCAACTAATGACTGTTGCACTGGTTCAAGGACTTGCAATGCTTTGGACTCCTCATCCTCAAACAAAACAGCCAAGTAAGTTGTTTCTCCTTTTTGCAACTTTTACTTGTAAGGCAGACTTTATATCCCCCAAAGACTTGGCCTTGATGAGGGGAACAAAACAGGGACTGGACATGTCCATCACGAACATCCTATGTAAATGAGACATAACCGACANTCTCCTCATCTCCTTTTGCAATTCTGACTTGATGATATCCCAACCGCAAGTCCATCTTGGTTAAAAAGAATGTTTTCCCAAGTCGATCGAACAACTCGTCAACGAGCAGGACTGGATAGTTATTCTTGACTATCACTTTGTTAAGGACCTTGCAATCCACACAAAGTCACAAGGATCCATTCTTCTTTTTCTGAAATAGGACAGGAGCTCCATAAGGGGCCTTAGAAGGTCTAATAAACTTAATGTCCAATAGATTACTAAGTTGCCTCCTTAACTTTGTCAA